TTAAACAATACTTGTGCCATATTCCTTCCTGTTGCTTCCTGATCATCCTACAAATGCTGCAATAGGTGGTGGAGATCACCGGATGCATCTATCACTTTAATAACTATCCACAGTTTATTGTGGTTTGTGCAGTCAAAAGCCGTAGCGTAATCAATAATATCTTTTTGGAACTCCACTGCTTTTCCCATCATCTGGTGGAAGTTAACAATGAGATCTAGGATTCCTCTGCCTCTTCTGAATCCAGCTTGCACATCTGGCAATTCTTGTCCTGTGTATTGCTGAAGTCTGAATTACAAAATCTTGAGTATTATTTTACTAACATATGGGGTACATGCTAGCATTTGATAGTTGAATAGGGTGCCATAAGCAAACTGAAAACATGCCAGGGAAATGCTCTGTGGTTTGTTCTCTCCAGAAGAGGCTGATGTATGAGCTTTGCACAGTATGACCTATTAGTACTGTGGAGGGGGGGAAAAAAAAATCCTGTTTTTTTATTCTGCAATTTCTCACTCAATTGTTGAAAGAGAATTTGCTTTCAATATTTCCTTTAAAGGAAAACAGAACTACTGAGAAATTCTCACGAGACTAGCATGGTATTCTTACGCTTACTGAATTTAAAAATAATCAAGAGCTCTTTCTCTCTCTCTCAATGTGTACGAGTGCACATGTGTTTGTGTGTATGAACAGACTGTCCTTCACCATGAAAGCATTTCTCACTTTGAAAACTTCCCTTCCATCCATTTTTTTCCTCCGACTGGACAATGTGAAGAATTCAGAATGATGTGCAGGACGAAACAATACTATTATAGTAGCATATTCTCTGCTACTTCCAACAATGCCAGCTCAAAAAGTCACCAAGATAAATTTTAAAAAGCCAATCTCTTTCTCCCTATCTCTCTCTCCCTATATATCCTATCTCCATCCATCATCCATCCATCCATCCATCCATCCATCCATCCATCTATCTATCTATCTATCTATCTATCAACGGATGTAAACTAATCACAATGGATGGAAATTGACCAAAGAGAGAAGCAACCTAGAACTAAGGAGAAGCTTCCTGAAAGTTAGAACAATTAATCAGTGGAACAACCTACCTCCAGAAGTGGTGAATACTTCAACATTGGAAGTTTTTAAGAAGAGACTGGACAGCCATTTGTCTGAAATGGTATAGGCTCTCCTGCCTGAGTAGGGGGTTGGACTAGTTGACCTCTAAGGTCCCTTCCAACTTGTATTATTGTTGTTGTTGTTATTATTATTTCCATCCATCCATCCATCCATCCATCCATCCATCCATCCATCCATCCATCCATCCATCCATCCATCCATCTATCTATCTATCTATCTATCTATCTATCTATCTATCTATCTCTATGAAAAATGGAACCCTGATTCACAGATGAAAACTTTTGAGAAATTGCTGGGCAAATGTTGACACACTTTGACAATATGTTGCAATACTTGTTTCCAAGTCATGCATCAAGATAATTGCAGAAGCTGGTCCATGTAGACATATTTGCTGTTGAGGAAAGACCTGGTGTGCACTGACTAACCTGGTTTGAAGTGCTGATAGAGCTTTATACATGTAAATGAATCATTCCCAGGTACATATCAATAGTCTGTGAAATTGACTAAGTCATTTTTTAAAATAATGAAGCTGTTTTAAGAAACGACTCATATGGAGCCCCGGAAAATGTCTGATGACCTTATTTGGGATCTAAAGCTGAAAACATAAAGTTAGGATGGGGAATCCATGGGCCTCCATGTTGAAAACAGACTTAGCATCCACAATCAATATAACCAGACGTTAATTTCAGTGACACTTAAGAGGTGCAAAGATTCAATTTAGGACCTTCTACGTTGAAGATGCTTTGCTCCTGAGTTACGGTTCACGTAGAGACGGACTGCAAAAAGAAGGAAAGATCTATAAAAAGCTACTGATTATTGTTCTCTGATCTGGCATTCTTGACTCATCTTAGCTGGCTCTGCATTCAGTAGATAGAAACTCAAGATATTCCTACTTGGTTCTCGGATGCGGCATCCATTCAAGAGAAGGCAATTTAGCAATTATCTGCCACTCTTCTCCGTGCATTTGAGTGCTTCTAAGACACACAGCAGCAATAAAGATTCATGGGTGTACAAATCATTCCAATGGGCAGTCTCCATCATCTGCAACACATCTGCCAGTCTGGCATACAACCTGATTACTCTCCCATAATTTTCCTTCTTTGTTTTATTGTTTTTTTAAAAAACATCCATGTGGTTTTCATTTTGACTATTAAAAAAGAACCTGTGTTGATGGTTGGGGCTGACAGAAATTTATTTAAGCTGAATTCCGGACAGCCAGAGGAATTCTGCCCACACAAAAATTTAATTCAGTTCTACCCATAGTACAATTTGCTGACAGATGCATACAACTATTTAGGATCGGTGTATATAAATGGCCTATCAACCAGTTATCTCTAAGATGGCTAATAAGACATACTAAAATAATTACACTTCTTATCAAACTTTCCAGATTAAGCACTGTAGCTATACTGATTACAGGTAGTCCTTGAATTACAACGACACTAGAAAAAAGTGACAATGACAGTTGTGACCTTTCTAGCATCCTCATGATCATGTGATCAAAATTCAGATGCTTGGCAACTGGTTCATATTTATGACCGTTGCTGTGTCCTGGGGTCATGTGATCACCTTTTGTGACCTTCTGACAAGCAAAGTCAATGGGGGAAGCCAGATTCACTTAACAACTGGATCACTAACTTATCAACTGCATTGATTCACTTAACAACTTGAGGCAAGAAATGTCATAAAACGGGGCAAAATTCACTTAACAAATGTCTCAACAACAGAAATGTTAGGCTCAATTATGGTCGTAAGTTGAGGACTATCCGTTATCAGCAAAAAGGAGTAATAACTTGGAAAGGAGACTAACTACTAGAATAATACAAGTGTGGTTCAGAAGAAACTCCACCTAAAAATTGTAAGGAAGAAGCAAGCCAAACTTTTTTGGAGAGGAGTTCCAAGTGGCAAGGAGTTCCACAGAGAAGGTTCCCTCTTGCCTCCCATTCGTCATTTTTTAGACCTCAAATCAAATGAACAGACCTCAACAGACAGAACTGGTAAGAGGGTCTGTAGAAGGTCCTGAGAGACTATTCCGTTTTCCCAACTGGTCACCTTCCAACGATTTTGGAACTACAAATCCCTTGAATTTCGGGTCAGCATGGAACTCTTGTGTTTGCAGTTCCAATGTCTGGGAGGAGACCAGACTGAGTTAAGACCAAAGATGGCGCTCTAAAGGTCTAAGCCAGCACTGGGAGCTGAGCTGCAGAAGAACTATAATGTAAACCACCAGGCCTCGATTATGTAACCTTCAAATCCACTGTTTCTCAACCTTGGCAACTTTAAGATGTGTGGACTTCAACTCCCAGAATTCCACAGCTGTGGAATTCTGGGAGTTGAAGTCCACACATCTTAAAGTTGCCATGGTTGAGGAAAAGCTGTTCTAATTGGTCCAGCTTGAATCATATGCAATTTCTGAGCGCACTACAACGGCTAACACTACACGGACCGTAATATTTCCAAATTGGCAATGTTCCTGGACATTTTACGAGGCCGTTCCGAATCATCTAAAAACTCTTCTGGAGGACCAAACGCTGAAGATCACGAAGGGAGACTGAAATGAGGCATGTACAGGTTGTCCTCAACTTACAACAGTTCTTTTAGTGATCGCTCAAAGTTACCCTGGCACTGAAAACAGTGACTGATGACCATTTTCAAACTTACGACCGTTGCAGCATCCCATGGTCATGTAATCAAAATTCGGACGCTTGACAACTGACTCATATTTATGGCGGTTGCAGCGTCCCGGGGTCACGTGATTCCCCTCTTGCGGCCTTCTGACGAGCAAAGTCAATGGGGAAGCCAGATTCACTTAACAACCGTTTTACTAACTTAACAACCTTTACGACAGGGAAGGTTGTAAAATGGGGCAAAACTCCCTTAACAACTGTCTCACTTAGCAACGGAAATTTGGGCCTAAAATGGAGGTGGTTAAAATAACAACAACAACAACAACAACAATAATGATAAAGTTGGAAGGGACCTTAGGGGTCATCTAGTCAAAACCCCTGCTCAGGCAGGAAACCCTACACCATTTTGGACAAATGGCTGTCCAGTTTCTTCTTAAAAACTTCCAGCGTTGGCGCATTCACCGCTTCTGGAGACAGGTTGTTCCACTGGTTAATTGTTCTAACTGTCAGGAAGTTTCTCCTTAGTTCTAGGTTGCTTCTCTCTTTGGTTAGTTTCCACCCGTTGCTCCTTCAGGCGCTTTGGAAAATAGCTTGACTCCCTCTTCTTTGTGGCAGCGCCTGAGATATTGGAACTCTGCTATCATGTCCCCCCTCGTCCTTCTCTTCGTTAAACTACTAGACATACCCAATTCCAGCAAGCGTTCCTTATATGTTTTAGCCTCCAGTCCCCTAATCATCTTCGTTGCTCTTCTCTTAGAGTCTCAACATTTTTTACATCATGGTGACCAAAACTGGATGCAGTATTCCAAGTGTGGCCTTACCAAGGCATTGTAAAGTGGTATCACGTGATCTTGATTCTATCCCTCTGTTAATGCAGCCTAGCATTGTGTTGGCTTTTTTGGCAGCTGCAGCACACTGCTGGCTCAAATTTAAATTATTGTCCACTAGGACTCCGAGATGCCTCTCACAGTTACTACTATTGAGCAAGGTACCCCCTATACTATATCTGTACATTTGGTTTTTCTTGCCTAAATGTAGAACCTTGCTTTTTTGTTAGATAGCTGTATGAGGACTAGCCATATGCAAACTGCGGATAAAGTCTCCCTCAAAGATCTATCCGAGGTCTCCTGGAAAGGTAGGAAAGGTACAAATGCAGTTTGACTTCACAGATCCATTTTCTTAGATATTAAACCCCAAAATGGCAGCCGATAAAACCGTAGCAAAACCTGTTTGCACTGAAGGTACCTTCGGTTGAGCAGTTCTGCCCACAAGCTGTCTGTAGGATATAGAACATCTCTCGGGCATGCTTGCCACCTTGAAGCAGAGCGATCGGAAGCAGAAAAAAGGAAAAAAAACAAAACAGAAAACAACCAAGGTAACAGAATGCAAAAGGAAATAAAAAGCACCGGAGAGAAAAAAGAGAAAGAGAAAGAGAGAAATGAGGGACAGCTGATTAAAGTCGCCATCAAAATACATTTAGAAATGAGATTAGCAAATTACGGCCAGAGAATTTTAACGACAAGACAACATTAGGATCGCAAGTCAGTCACATATTATGGAAGAGGAGGGGGGGGGAAAAAAAACAAAAACAATCCAGCCATATAGCTTAGCTAAGGCATCAAAACCAAAACGTGAAAAAGGTAGTTATATTAAATTAGCCATGTCAATCCCTTGTTAGTTTTCTCTAACCCAAATCTGTGCAATGCTATTTTCCACTCAGGGCCAAGATGGCCTCCAGGCTCGACGTACCAACGATGTCAAACCACAAGGGGATGTTAGCAGGTTGCACGGAGACCACGCCGACAATTTCTGTCACCCGGTCACTTTCCATGATGGTGAAGTTATAGAAGGGATCGTCGAAAGTCAGAGGAACGAGGGACGGGGGTGGTTTCTTAATCCATTCAATGTGGAGGCGAGCTGTAGAAGACTTCTGGGGCCGTCCGTTGTCAACTGCTTTGATCTGTTAGACAAGGGAGACAGAGAGGACACTTTAGCACACTTCTCTAGGCAAAGCTTTCATCTCTGTTTTGCTTTCAAAATGGTCCCTCGTTTTTAATTCCTACGCTCATGAGATGGATGGCATTTTTTCTGTATTATACTACAAGCAAACTAAGGGTGACATGATAGCAGTGCTCCAATATCTAAGGGGCTGCCACAAAGAAAAGGGAGTCAAGCTATTCTCCAAAGCACCTGAACACAGGACAAGAAGTAATGGATGGAAACGAACCAAAGAGAGAAGCAACCTAGAACTAAGGAGACATTTTCTGACAGATAGAACATTTCATCAGTTGAATGAGTTGTCTCCAAAATATAAGATACGATATGATACGATACGATACGATACGGTAAGGTAAGGTAAGGTAAGATAAGATGATAAGATACCGTAAATGCCGGCGTATAAGGCGACTTCCGCGAGCGCTGAAATCAGCGCTAAAGACGGGGGTTGTCTTATACGCCGAGTCGTCTTATACGCCAGAAATACTGGTAGTTTCCGGCGTATAAGACGACGTTCTAGGAATGCGGCCCAGCTATAAAGACGGGGGTCGTCTTATACGCCGGGTCGCCTTGTACGCCGGCATTTACAGTAACCTTTATTGTCATTTTTTCTTGTGGGCACAATGGCACACATTAAAAATGAAATTTAGTTGCTTACTCTCAAAGTGTACACATACATAACACACATTTAAAACATACTATGTACAGCATATGTATAGACCTACACCCTTACATATAAGTAAAATATACATATTATTCATTGTCCATCTTGAATACATAACGGAAGGAGGAAGCTTGAGAGTTCACAAGGTTAATGCTGTATGGAATGAAACTATGTCTGAATCTGGATGTTCTGCTTCGGATACCACGAAGCCCCCTCCTCCCAGAAGGTAACAAGGAAAACAGGTCGTGAAGAGGATGTGTCTTGTCCCAGATTATCTTACGGACCCTGCTCAAGCAGCGCTTCTGTGCTATGTCCTGGATAGGAGGGAGGGAACTTCCAATGATCTTTTCGGCCATCCTCACCACTCTCTGCACCACCTTCCTGTCTGAAGCAGTGACACTTCTAAACCAGACGGTGATGCTGTATGACAGGATGCTACAGCATCACCATCTGGTTTAGAAGCATCACTGCTTCAGACAGGAAGGCAGAGGTTGTGGGTGCTCCAACCCTGAAGGTTTTTAAGAAGAGACTGGACAGCCATTTGTCTGAAATGGTATAGGGTTTTCTGCTTGAGCAGGGGTCGGACTAGAAGACCTCCAGGATCCCTTCCAACTGTGTTATTTTGTCATCACATTTTGTACTTTTGGTGAAAACATTTAAGCCGGCAGGGTAGGTGACCAGTGATAGTGAAAGGGGAGAATATGGGCATTTTTCTTAAAATATTTTTGGAAGAAACAAGGACCAGAGCGAAGTAACAAATATTGACAAGATTCCAAAGTGTGTGGAATCAGGACTTCCAGGGCAAGTAATTTTGATGGATGTGCTTGGTATTTAAATCTAATCAAAGACCACTAGTTTGTGTTATTTTGCTGTCAGGGGTGAGGGGGGAGGATATATGTCTGCAAAAGATTTCTGAACATGTTGTTCTTCCAATCAATTTATGTTATTATCTTTTTTAACTTGAGATTGAGCCCAACCGAAGTTGAAGAGTTTTGCAAGTGCAATCTTTGGTTTCCTTTCATTGTTGGTAAGCAAGTCCTTAACTTACAACCACTTGTCTAATGACCATTTGAAGTTATGGTAGCACTAAAAAAAACTGACTTTGGCCCTTGCATTTGACTGTTGTAGAATCCCTGCAGTCATATGATCAAAATTCAAGTGCTTGGCAACTGGGGGTGAGCTGGTTTTACTCAATGACCGTAGCAAAAAGGCTGTAAGATCAGGCGTGATTCACTTAATGACAGCATTGCTTAGTGATGGAAGCTCCAGTGCCAATTGTGGTTGTAAGTCAAGGATTACATGTATTAAAAAAGCTGTGGTGGGGCAGTGGTTAGAATACAGTATTGCAGGCTAACTCTGCGCACAGCTAGGAGTTTGATCCTGACCGGCTCAAGGTTTACTCAGCCTTCCATCCTTCCATGTTCGGTAAAATGAGGACTCAAATAGTTGGGGGCAACAGGATGACACTGTAAACTGCCCAGAGGGTACTGTAAAGCAGTATGGAGTGGTATATAAGTCTAAGTCAGGGGTCTTCAAACTTGGCCCTTTTATGACTTGTGGACCAGCTCCCAGAATTCCTCAGCCAGCAATAGTGGCTGAGGAATTCTGGGAGTTGGTCCACAAGTCATAAAAAGGCCAAGTTTGAAGACCCCTGGTCTAAGGGCTATTGCTATTGCTATTCTCTTTAACAAGCCTTCCAACCCACAACACAGATAATTCTGAATAAAGCAGGGCTGGAGGACTTGAGTTAAACCCAAAACCTGATTAAAGGTCGAATCTTCATAGGAATCAAGGTTGAGGTTAGATCTTGTTAAACTTCTTTACATCCCATTTAACACGAAAATAACCCATTTGGGGGGCTGATACAACATACTCAACCTTAGGCTTGTCATAATTTCAAACAGTCGTTAAGCGATCAGTCGTAAGCCGAGGACTACCCCCTTATATAACTTATTAATTTAGGAGAGAAAAAAAACCAAACTCTAATCAAAGTCAACACTGGCCACGCTTCACATCTTGTATGAAGCAGCAACTAAGTATTCATCAGACCTGATTAAGCACTTTGAGGAAACTGTCTTGCTTGCCGTTGAACTAGTTCCCAAGAAGCAAAGTTCATTTGTTACACAGAGTGAGTTGTGAAAAGCCACCTGCTTAGACTGTAATTTGCTGCCACCACGCAACCACTGTTATGGCTTTTAAATCAGAGGCACCAGAGAAGGCATGCTGTCGACCTCGTGACACACCAGCAGACACCTGTGCCCACTTAACCCTTCACCACTTGCCATCCAATTAAGTTCCTGTGAATTCCTTCCAATAATGAAGAAGGCAGATTCCAATTAATCTCTCGTGCATAGGCCATCCAGCCAACTATTTTTCATATTCAATAAGAGTGAAACAAATATTGAGTCTTAAAAGTACATTTGATTTGAATGGAGATACCTGAATTCAACTGACTTGAAAATCCAGGTCAAAAATTGAAAATCCATCAGGGGCGCAATGGCTCAACGATTGAAGACACTGAGCTTGTTAGATGGGAAAGTGATAGACCGGGTTCGACACCAGAGCAATGTGCGATGGGGTGAGCTCCCGTTCCTTGCCCACCTAGCAGTTTGAAAGCATGCAAATCCAAGTAGGTAAATAGGTACCACTTTGGCGGGAAAGTAACAGTGTTCCGTGCACCTCAGCACATAGTCATGTTGGCCACATGACCACAGAAATGTCCTCAGACCAGGGGTCCTCAGCTTTTCTGGCTTAGGAATTCTGGGAGTTGAAGTCCACAAGTCTTAAAAGTTGCCAAGGTTGAAGACCCCCGTCTTCAGACAATGCTGGCTCCCTCGGCTAAGCGCTGCCCCCTAGAGCCAGACATGACTGGACAGGGGAAACTTTTACTTTGACCTGAATTCAACTTACTTGACAATCCAGTTCTTAACTTGAGGGTTCAAGACAAGCAAACTGTTGCTAATGAAAACTTGTGCTACAGGTAGTCCTCGATGTACGACCAAAATTGGGCCTGGATTTCTGATTTGTAAGTCATTATCATTGTAACTCAAGGCATCTGTCTGACCGTACCTGATCTTACAACATTTTTTTCAGTGGTTAAGTGAATCTGCGTAGTCAATAAATAAACCAACGTGGTTAAACAAATACAGTATTCCTAAGTGGAGCCCTATTCTTCTGAATGACAAAAAAATGCTGGAAACTGACAAAAAAAACCCTGCAAATTGTGGTCACGTGACCATGGTATTGTGCAGCCAATTGGAAAGGTGAGCCAGTTGCCAAGCACCTGAATTGGTTCTTCACATGAACATAATATATGTATGGATGTATGCCAAATATGTATGTATGTATAATACATATGTGGTGTGTGTGTGAGGAATGACATTTTACGATGGCTAGAAATGCTTTATGGGCTGTAAAACATTTGTTCTGGGCCCATCATTATTTGTTGTTAAGTGACTAATTGTGAGTCGAGAACTTAATAATAATAATAATAATAGTAAAGTTGGAAGGGACCTTGGAGGTCATCTAGTCCAACCCCCTGCTCGGGCAGGAAACCCTACACCATTTCGGACAAATGGCTGTCCAGTCTCTTCTTAAAAAATTCCAGTGTTGGAGCATTTACTTCTTCTGGAGGCAAGCTGTTCCACTGATTAATTGTTCTCACTGTCAGGAAGTTTCTCCTTAGTTCTAGGTTGCTTCTCTCCTTGATTAGTTTCCACCCGTTGCTTCTTGTCCTGCCTTCAGGTGCTTTGGAGAATAGCTTAATTCCTCTTCTTTATGGCAGCCCCTGAGATATTGGAATACTGCTATCATGTCCCCCCTTGTCCTTCTCTTCGTTAAACTAGACATACCCAATTCTAGCAACCGTTCCTTATATGTTTTAGCCTCCAGTCCCCTAATCATCTTTGTTGCTCTTCTCTGTACTCTTTCTAGAGTCTCAACATCTTTTTTACATCGTGGTGATCAAAACTGGATGCAGTATTCCAAGTGTGGCCTTACCAAGGCATTAAAGAGTGGTATTAATACTTCACGTGATCTTGATTCTATCCCTCTGTTAATGCAGCCTAGCACTGTGTTAGCTTTTTTGGCAGCTGCAGCACAGTGCTGACTCATATTTAAGTAATTGTCCACTAGGACTCCGAGGTCCCTCTCACAGTTACTACTATTGAGCATGGTGCCACCTAAAAACAGTAAAACCTGCTCTTAAATCAAAGAAGTAAAACTAAGGCTTATTCCAGTATTGAAGGCTTACAGTTAAGATATCATAGCTCCCAGCAGTGAACTGCTTTCGCGATGAAACCATTCCAGTCTTGGGGTCAATGAAGAACTTGGCGTCTTCGTTTCCATCCACAATACTGTAGGAGATCTCCGCGTTGGGGCCTTCATCCTTGTCGAAGGCAAAAGCTCGGTATATGGGCTCCCCTCTCTTCTTTCGGTCCCTCTCAGGCAATTTGATCTGATAGACTTTCTCTGGGAATTGAGGCTTGTTATCGTTTTCATCCAGAACTTGGACCACCAGCCATACGGTAGACTGCTTGGGAGAGACTGCTCCATCTGTTACGGTAACCTGAAATGGAAAGAGTAGCGATATAAGGAACAACAACAACAAAAGCTTAATAATAATAATAGTAGTAGTAAAGTTGGAAGGAACCTTGGAGGTCATCTAGTCCAACCCCCTGCTCGGGCAGGAAACCCTACACCATTTTGGACAAGTGGCTGTCCAGTCTCTTCTTAAAAACTTCCAGTGTTGGAGCATTTACTGCTTCTGGAGGCAAGCTGTTCCACTGATTAATTGTTCTCACTGTCAGGAAGTTTCTCCTTAGTTCTAGGTTGCTTCTCTCCTTAATTAGTTTCCACCCGTTGCTTCTTGTCCTGCCTTCATGTGCTTTGGAAAATAGCTTGATTCCCTCTTCTTTATGGCAGCCCTTGAGATATTGGAATACTGCTATCATGTCCCCCCTTGTCCTTCTCTTCGTTAAACTAGACATACCCAATTCTAGCAACCGTTCCTTATATGTTTTAGCCTCCAGTCCCCTCCAGTCTCCAGTGCACAGAGCCATTCCTAGTAAAAAGTTGAAATGGAATATAAATAAATATGAACAAAACAGTCAACCGCCTCAAACATCCTGTTTGGGATTTGAAACAAAAGCTTTGAGCTCCACAAAGTGGGGAGATCTGAATTCAGAGCAGAATGGTCCAAACCCGAGATGCTTAAAATTCAAAATATTTTGCGCATCCACATAGATCGTCCACCCTACTGTATTTCCTTCCATTAACTTTTCTTACATAATTTTACAGGAGGGAGTCCTCAATTTATGATTGGTTGAAATTAGAATGGATATCATCACAGCTAGTTACTACCTGTTTCTGAAGTTGCAATGGCCAATTCTGTCCCGGGGTGTGTGTGTCACATGATTGTATTTTGGGTACTTTGGAGGCATCTGTGGTGTCCTGAGGTGATTTGTGATTTTTGTTCTGCTGGTTTCTGATGTTTACATACAATTTTTCCCATTGGGCAAAATGGATTCACTTAATGACTGTAATGCTTACTTAATAACTGCCACATTTGCTTAATGACCACACCCCAAAATCTAAAAATTGTATCTGTTGCCTCAACTTATGACCACAATTCCTGACTCAAATGTGATTATAAGTCAAAGACTACCTGTATATAATTTTATTCTTATAGCTACAGGTTAGGATAGTCCTCGACATATGACCACAACTGAGCCCCAAATTTCCATTGCTAAACAAGACAGTTGTTAAGTGAGTTTTGTCTCATTTTACGAACTATCTTGCCTCAATTGTTAAGTGAATCACTGCAGTGGTTAAGTTAGTAACAGGGTTGTTAAATGAGTTTAGCTTCCCCATAAACTTTGCTTGTTAGGTGGTCACAAAATGCGATCACGTGGCCCCGCGACTCTGAAACCGTCATAAATATGAGTCAATTGCCAACCATCTGAATTTGGATCATATGACTCTGGGGATGCATCCCCAGGGTCACATGATCCAAATTCAGACGGTTGGCAATGGTCATAAATGTAAAATGATCATAAATGTAAAAATGTTCATAAATCACTTTTTCCCCCAGTGTCATAATTTTAAATGGTCACTAAATGAATGGTTGTAAGTTGAGGACTACTCGTACCAGATATTAGGCCACAAGGGATGAATCAAATGTTTCTTTCCAATACAGATCAATGTTTTCTTAAGGTAGCTGCAGTCTTTTCTATTTTTATTCCTTTCCCTAGAATTCACTAGTGAGATTGGCTCCCTCAGTAGTATTTGAAAAGGTTTTTAAAACACCTTTTTCCCAAAACAGCTTTTAAGGTTGACTTAAAACTTAATTTTCAACTGTTATTTTAATATGTTTTATTAATTTTGGTTGTAGGTTATTACAGCAAACCGCTCTGAGACTACGATGAGCTGTGAAATAACATTTTAATTATTATTCTTTAAAGGGATGTAGGCCTGCTTTGTAGATTTCCCTTAATGGAAATAATATCCCTCTAAACTTATCCACCTAGGATGTTTAATCTGTTTTATTTTGTGGAAAAGCAAGAAGGGAATAAAATAGTGGAGATTTGATGGGGTAGGCAGTGAGCGTTCACAGTTTACAGCTGTCAATGTCCCTCTTTGGAAAAACAAAGTAAAACAATGACACCTCACTGTGGCTTAAGTCTTTCTAGAACTTGCATAAGGAAAGAACAGTTAACTATATAGTTTGTGAAATCAAATTTGGGTCTGTCACATGAGCTTTCGGACTCTTGCTGGAACCCATTTTTCAGGGAATTATTTTCTACCGGAATACATGCTTTGGGCTATTTTGTGAGTCGTGTTTATGTGGTGCCTTCCTATTGGCTGATTGGTGGGTTGATGGCTGGTGATTGGCTTTCGTTTCCTTGTGCTACCAAGGCTCCTAAGTATTTGATAAGCTGGTGGTAAATCAGCATTCCTGCTAACTGACAAGGGGCCCGTTTCCCAGGCTTCAGTTATTTCTCTGGCTATTTTTGTACCTGCATGGCCAACAATCTTAGTAGCTGTGAAATTCAATATGTGCCCTGTATGTTCAAATAATCATATGTCCTTTTGACAAGAGTTGGTAAATATATAAATCTTATTCCAGCTTTTCTTTTTTCCTCCTTTGATTCTTAACTAAAGGTATTAATCAACGTTTTGGACGATAACGATAATGGTCCAGAATTTTCCCACCCAAGCTATGATGTAATGATTTCTGAGGACATCATGCTGGACACTAAGATCCTTCAAGTAGAAGCTATGGACAGAGATGAGAAGCACAAACTCAGTTACATCATTCACAGTTGTCTTGATTCCATCAAAATTCAGGACGGATCCCAACACAGGCGTGCTCTATAGTTTGCATTACACAGCTGACAGTGTAATGCAAACTAAACTGGAACTCTCTGAGGTTAAAACTAACCATATCTAAATTAATAATAGGGAGGGGGGGTGTAAAGTGATTGGATTGGGAGTTTTACGTCCCAAACCAGATATTGTGAACCTTGCCAGCAAGGTCATTGCTCATTATTTTATTGGTTTATATGTTCAGTCATGGACCAAAAACGGAATTAAAATACATGAATACATGCTGGCTGGGGAATTCTGCAAGTTGAAGTCCATGTCTTAAAGTCAAAAAGTTCGAGTGATTAATATAGTCACTCAAAAACAACAACAACAAGCAAACAAATTAGGGACATGCAGCTCCCTAATGCTTTGATTCAAACCTCCTCAAATTTGAAGAGCCTACTTAAGGCTTGAAGTAGACACTGTGGAATCCTCCAGAGAGACTCCTGCTTTGAACAGCCATCTTCCTCATCAAATAGAAATATCTTTCAAATTAAAGACAAGATTTTCGCTCTAAAAACACCTGTTTACTCAAAATAAGACTGTTTACCCAATTTGGCTCCCAGAATACCCTCCAGTATTCCAGATGACCTTGATCCTGGTTCTCCCCCAATCTTAGCAAAGAGTGCACATTCCAACCAAGAATTTGCTTTCAGTCTTCTATCTCCCCACCTTGAGATTGCTCATTGGGGCCCTAAAGGGGCCGAGAAGCTTTGCAGAAAACAACATGTATTTATTTATATTCACTTATTCATTTATTTATATCCTGCCTTTATTACTTTCACAAATAACTCGAGGTGGTAAACATATCCAATGCACCTTACTCCTCCTGTTTGCTCCATAGCAATGTAAAAAAGATGTTGAGAATCTAGAAAGAGTACAGAGAAGAGCAACAAAGATGATTAGGGGACTGGAGGCTAAAGCATATAAGGAATGATTGCTGGAATTGGGTATGTCTAGTTTAATGAAGAGAAGGATGAGGGATGACATGATAGTAGTGTTCCAATATCTCAGGGGCTACCACAAAGAAGAGGGGTCAACCTATTCTCCAAAGCGCCTGAAGGCAGGACAAGAAGCAACAGATGGAAACTGATCAAGGAGAAAAGCAACCTAGAACTAAGGAGAAACTTCCTGACAGTGAGAACAATTACCTGCCTCCAGAAGTGATGAATGCTCCAACACTGGAAGTTTTTAAGAAAAGACTGGACAGCCATTTGTCTGAAATGATATAGGGTTTCCTACCTGAGCAGGGAGTTGGACTAGATGACCTCCAAGGTCCCTTCCAACTTTTATTATTGATCATCGCACAGTCAGCCAGATGTTCAGACTGGATTTGGCATTTTGTCTACCTATCAAGTCCTTACCCAGGACCTGGGATAGGCAGATGTGGATGTTTGATGGTATTACAGATATCGTCGCAGATGATGATGATGATGATGATGATGATGATTACCATCATCATCATCAACCCCGTGAGATGAGTTGGTTGAGAGAAAAGAACTGGCCCAAAGTCACCCAGCGGAAACTAGTGTGGGGCAGGTGTCTGTGGCCCATTTGCGCATGCACGAATGGGCTGCTAGCTGCCGTGGGGGGGGGGTGCGCGGCCATTCGCGCATGTGCATGGCACCAGCACATCCCGCATGCGTGAATGGGGGCTGCTAGTGCCATGCCTGTGTGTGTGGCCTTTGTGCACCAAATTTGAAGCTGCTCTCCTTCCCTCCGGTCCAGAAGCCCGGAAAGGTTGGTGACCTCTGTTTTAGATGGAAGAAAAACGTTAGAGAATACGCATCGGGTCTTGTAAGAATACCTGGAAAATGCTACTCTAATTATTTGTATCAGCCTTTACTGCTCAGGATTAATTTGAGAAAGGAAAGTGTAGGAGATAACCAGGCAAAGCCTGAAGGTGGGGTCAAATGTGTCATTAGTTTGGAGTCATTACATTCCCACATGAGACCTAAGTCCAGCCCCTCTCCCTGTGAATTCGGCTGACTCTTATCTAGCGCCAATTTGCCTCAAGTGTTAATAGACCAGATTCTTGTGTATAAGTAGCATGTAATAAACTTGAAGTGCTTTGAACTCAACTCCTGTTCCCGGTTATATGTGCCTGACAGAAAGGAGACTTTATTGTAAATTGGATTAAATGTTTCCATGTTTATTTATTGACATAGATTATTGATTAATGTTTGGGGGCAAGCAGACCTC